CGGGTGTCGGGCCCCTTTGATGCTCCGTGTGTAGCGTCCGACGCACGACATAAATTTTGTCGTTATTAGCGAAATATGCCTGCTAAGCCTAACGTGCCGAGGCAGTGCTTCGGCAGCGTCGCCTGACCAAGAATGCTGCATTTTCAACGGACGTGCAACCTAGCACAGCGTTTCGTGCCCGTCGGCATCTCCTTCCTTGGGAACAAAAAAAGAAATGAAAGAAGCTTTGCAGTGGGAAACCCAAAGAAACTCGTTGATGGAGAAGCAGTGCTACGAGAGTCACGAACAGCGTCAGAAACAGCCACAAAGTAAAGTTATCCTCTGGCATGAGTGTCTACAAATTTTCAGTTGACCAACGAATCCAAATCCATGCTTCAATTTCCTGGTGTGGTTGCTTGTTTCATAGTTTTACCGTATTTTTAAGTTAATAAACCAGTCATAATTTGCAATGAGCATGTAGAGACGATGCGGCAAGCGGACGCTGTGAAGACGGTGAGCAGACGACATGACACAGATGATTACATGTAGAGGGGCTAATCGTACTTCTTATTGGCCGAGGGGCCCTGTAGCCTCCACAGTGCTAATGGGAGCTTTTGAAAGAGTATGGCAATCGCTGAGAAGCCTAAGAGGCAGCTTTGCCACAGTACTAGTGTGATGAGGGGAAGCACAATAAAATCTAAAGGTGTCACTTTGTATTGCAAGTTGACTATTTTTATGCGGGAAGTTTGAATAGTTTTGAACGGTAAAATTTCCGTGCGAGTCTATTTGAATAGCAAACAGTATTTAAAAAATATTTGAAATTTCTAATATTTGCACACCCCGAAATAGCACCTTATCTAGTGCCCAGAGTTGTCGGGTTGGCTAAAAAATCTGCCTAGGTAAGGGACTGAGCTGCTCTAATCGATCTGCCGCAGACATATTTTTATGGCGGCTCAAAATGTTGATTCGCTCATGTGCTTACACATGCGCAAACTGTGGGCACTTGAAATCGATTGGGATTTGCTGCAGTGTTCTCATAGCAGTATTCAATAATAAACAGTTTTATAGACAATAGTCTTTCGTGGGATGCTTTAATGCAAAAAGTTTGGTCTGTATGTTTGTTTGTCTGTTTGTCAAGCAAAACGTTTCAAGTATGACTACATTTACAGCGCCCACCAACATTGCCCAGGTTTTTTCGTTAAAGCAGGTGCTATTGTCGATTTAAAAGCAAATGCTGCGCATATCTGAGGCTCTATGTCAACGTGCCAATATTCTACCGTGTGTTTCTTTATACTACAAAAGGCATACATAAGTACTGCTAAGAACTGTAACGTTTATTACGCTGCACTTACAATCCGACGCTATGCAGGAAAAGGAGTTTTTTACACTTTGCTAAGACGATACGGTGCTACAAGCTACTTTGATATCTACAAAATACGGCCTCCAAGTTTCGTTTTCTGAGATTACCGACAGATGGCGCTCATGTCTCGCGCAGTGCCTCCAGAAGCCCGGATATTCACAGATTTTCTCGTGCAAAACATCAAATAAATGTTTTATTCTGTTCACAATCCCCACATGGGAGACTACGGTTTTTCGACAACATTTGCAATCGAACAGACAGATATGGGGCCAATTGTTCTGTATAGTTTAGTAACAGTAAATAATGTCCTGCATTGTACGTATACAAAATGTGCACTGGGAAGCGTAAACAAGAATTTTGGGCATAGCATACTTGCTTACTCAGTGTGACAAAAAAAAAAAAAAAAGGGCATACCATGAAACAGAAAAGAGGGCATACCATGAAACAGAAAAAATCCCCTTCGGATATATCGAACGTCGCACGAGCTGGGAGGTGCACTTTGGCAATCGCCGCATTCTGCAATCTCTGCAGCTCTGTGTGCGAGTTGGAAGGTTCACTTTGGCACTCACGGTGCCCGGCGATCTCCACGTGGCACCACACCTCCGCCAAAACCCGAGAGGGCTCAGACTGCACAATCTCTAACTTGCGGAACGAACGGCTTTTTTTTTCAGTTTCTCTTTCTCTCTCTCATGCTTTCTCCACGTACCCGTCGGCTCCGAGAGCAGGAACGAAGGAGCCGACGCCCTCCTCCTTTCGCCTTCTCTTATTTTTTGTTTTTGTTTTGAGAGTTCTGATCAGTCAACCACAGCTCGTGGCTTTTGCTATTGCCTTCGCAGGTGGCCATCGCCTCACGAGCACTTTGTTATAACGTGCCACCGCATGTGCAGCATTTCTCTTTTGCGTGCGGGGTGTGTAAAGCCGCTGCAGACTCCTTGAATTGCTGACTTCTCGTTTAGCTATGGCCAGTGTCAAGAAGCGCAAGACCCTTGACTTTGGGACAAAGTTGAAGGCTATTCAGCGTGTTGAGGCGGGCGAGAAATGGTCGACCGTCGCGGACGACTTCGGGATACCACGGAGCCACGGACTTCGGGATACCACGGAGTACCTTGTTAAAGGACAAGGCAAATATTAAGGCGAAGATGGCGGTACAGTGAACGTCGGGAGCATGTGCCCGCTCCTGCCCACAGGAATGTAGAAAAGGCACTCTATGCCTGGTTTTTAGAAGTGCGCGAAGAACATTCCGGTGGATGGCCTGATGCTGATGGCTAAGGCCAAATGGTTTGCCACTGAACTTGGTGAAACAACTTCGCCGATAACACCAGGTGGCTTCACCGATTTAAGCAGCGCTGCAACATCGTTGGCAAAACCATTTCTGGCGAAAGTGAAGCTGTCAGCAGCCAGGACATCCAGCAATGGATGACGAAGGAGTGGCCTGAAATGTCGGGGAAATTTAGTTCTGTCGAGATCTTCAACGCATGGCGATACGAGAAGACGGACAGAGTGGTCAGCTGCTTACGCAAGACAGGCTTAAAGACGGCGGAACTTGCGGAAACCAGTGAAGACGACGATGACGAGCGCATAGACGGCGCGTTTCAGGAATTGTTGTTCTGCTTCCCGGCAGCAGTTCCACACGAAGTGTCTGCGGACAATTTCGTGGAAGCGGACTACAATGTCCAGGTCGTTGCCAGCCTCGCTGACGAGGACATAGTAGCTGTGGTCGTAGGGACCCAGGATGCCCAAGCCGACAGCTCATGCGACGAGTATGGCCGTCTGGATGAGGCGCTGGCTGCACACGCGCACTCCGCCGCTGAAGTGGCGGCAGTGTTCGGCGTCATTCGCTGTTGTATCAGCCACATGAAGGGAACCGGGCTGTCGCACCTGGACAGTCTTAATAAGATCGAGACTAGCGTCTTCAACTTCATTTTAAAAACTATGAAGGAGACCAAGATAAGCAATTTTTCTTCACGAAAATAAATCATTCTGTTGCGGTGTGTGTGCGGAATTAGTTGTCATTCTTGAATGCACCTATTGTAGGTGACGGTCCGCTACAGGTAAGCTCTCGGAGACTGTATCTTTTTATATAGAATTTTTTATATATTGCACTAATTTGCGATCCCCTTCGAGTTCGATATATCCGTGTTCAACTGTACTACTAAAAGGTTGCCAAACCACCTTTTTAAGTAATGATCATTAATTTAGTATGGGAAGTTATTGCTTCGTGTATTAACTGCTGCAAGTGTTTCTAAGAGGTAGAGATTTAGAGATTTGTCTGGCGCTTGAGGTGCTAGAAGCGGCACGAGGACGAATTGTGCAGGGAGAGATGTGTCAGCGCACGTCATGACCTTGGTCGTATGATGAAACCAGATCGCTTTCTCTCATTGCGATTCCTGTATGCGAGTGAGTCTGTCTGTGCGATGTGCAGACTGTGGAGCATGATGCGGGCACCCCACTTTGCCACCTCGACCTTTTAGGCTCACTGATTCAAATTGGGCCAAGTTCACAACGGTCCATTCTTTTATTCGGAACAAAAGTGAAACACAACAATAAACAAATCCGCAAGTGCGTTTGGAGCGTGCAAGCACGAAGACTAATCAAATCTGTGTACCACCAATCACTAGCATGGTCGCTGAACTGATGGCAGTGCCAGAGTCCTTTGTAGTTAATTTTAGGAAACTGTGGATCCAAACACCACTCCTGTTATAAGCTGGCTATTGGCCAAGAGAGTGCTGTTTGGTGTCGTGCAGCATGTGCTCCAAGGAGGGGAGGGGAGGCCCCTGTATGAAAACAGGCCACTTGATTGAAATGGTAGCTTTGCGCTCTGCTTCTAAATTCTTCTTGCTTCGCACAACTTCAAGACTTGGCTGAGCTATTTGTAGCAGTGTCTGGATATTTCATTTCGCCAAGCCCGTGAGGCTGTTCAGAGAAATAAGACAAGAGCCACTCAATCAGTTTACATGCATTGAGGAAATAATAGTTCTTTGAAAATTTTGAGGTGCCCCGCCACGGTGGTCTAGTGTCTAAAGTACTCAGCTGCTGACCCGCAGGTCACTGGATCAAATTCCCGCTGTGGCGGCTGCATTTCCGATGAAGGCGGAAATGTTGTAGGCCCGTGTACTTGGATTTGGGTGCACGTTAAAAGAACCCCAGGGGGTCAAAATTTCCGGAGCCCTCCACCACGGTGTCTTCGTAATCATATGGTGGTTTCGGGGACTTAAACCCCAGAAATCAAATCAAAGAAAGTTTTAAAGATTCAACGGGAAGTTTTAATATTTTGGAGCGGAATGAACATTGGTGCTTATTTATTTTTCTTAAGTTTATGCCAGGGCTGTATTGGCTAAATTGCCAGAAGAAGGCAGCCTTGAAGTTCAACGTTGTGTAGCATGGAGGGTGTCTGCCCAAGAATAGTGAAATGAAGTGACAGCTGACAGGAATTCCTAGGTGTTAAAATGTAAAAATAATGCATTCCATGTTTGAGTGGTCTTAATAGAGGCTGGGAGAAGCCTTAATAGCTGCTATGTTTTTGGCTGTCTGCATGCCTCACCAACATGTTTTCCTGGTGGGACTGACATCTGGCTAATACATGAACTCATAGCCACAGTCACCCCCCCCCCCCCCCCTAATGACTTCACTGATAGACAGCAATTGCTCTTTGAACGTGCAGGCTCCGTTGACCAAGATGGACACCACCATGACCGGGGAGGTTCTGACGCAGCAGACATCTTCCAAGATGGCGACACAGGCCTCCAGAAACACCCCATGTGAGCCTGCTTCTTTAGTGCACACTTCCAGCTGTGCTTCCTGATGTGCTTATTGGATGGAATGCATTAAGAAAGGTGAACTGAGAGTTCGTACCGTCTAGAGCTGCACTCCGGCACTATTACACATAATCATCGAATGCTCTTGTTATTGTATGACGTCTTTTTAATCGATTGCCGGAAAAGGGTGTGTCTGTTCAATACGCGTGATAAGATGGCGGGGCTAGGGCTTCACAGGGGCAGGGTGGTTGGCACTTACTTGTATTACAGCCGCATCAAAGCCATCGCTGCTTTTGTTTCACAAAACCAAATGCAACTAAAATATATTAGAAAATGTGAAATATTCAATTGCTTGGTTACTCCACCTGGCTTTCAAATTGTGTAGTCGCTATTCATAAACCACACATTATTATGCCAGAGGCATAGCCACGCTTAAATTCTAGGGGCATACAATTTGCAGCGAAGGAAGTCTCTTGTAGAGCTTTGTTGTTTATATGTTCCTGATGATGTGCTGGCACTGTTGATCTATTTATTTTTATTTCTTCATTGTACCATCAGGGCCAAAAGGTATTACACTAGGTAGTGAGGATACATTTCAGTAAACAGCTAAGCATAAAGAAAAAAAGAAAAGTAAAGTACAAAGCGGCTGGCAAAAAGTCAATTTCCACTCTGTAGGTGGTTTTTTAGTTATTTTAAACAAATCTTCTAGTAGTGACCTTGACAGTGTTGTTACCAACATCGTCGCACCTGAGGCGCAAGGTTTAACCTTCACCCATAAACTGACCAAGGACAACCACATCCAGTTTTTAGATCTTGAACAGCTTTTTAACTGACACCCACGTTTGCTGGTAATGAAACCCAATGTCGAACAAAATATTATTGCTTTACATGAGGGGACACTCCAAACTCGTTAAACGAAAAATAAGAGACGGTAGGATTTTGTGTGTTGGTATAACATGATAAAAAGGGCTCAGCGTTGCAAACGACAGAAGGGGATAGACGAGACAAGACAGAGCGCTGAACTGCCAACAGTTTATTTCTTGCGAAAGTCTTCGCTATTATTGTCACCAGTTGCACTAGTCGCACCAGTCATGCACGAAACACAATGATAATGCATAAGTACATCACACCGCCAAGCAAAGGAACAACTTTTCTTATCGGTGAGCGCGACAGAAGGGGTGCTAACACAAGCATCTTTTCATGAACATATCTTTTCTGCTTCTATAATCTCGCGTGTGGTACGATCCCTGCATGTTGCAACAATAGTACAATCTGAAAACTTGGCCTGCGGCCACATGTGCTGCAGTGAACGGACGGCCATCCTTGTTATAATGATCCACATTGTACAAATGTTCCTTAAGCCTCTCATATATACAACGATATGTTTGGCTGACAGTATCTTCCACACTATAACAGTAGCTGATACACCACATTACAAATACAATCTCCTGCGGTGAAATGTTTGCTCTCTCTTGAATGCCGATCTGTGACGCGCCTGTGCCAAGCTTCTCCCTTTTCCGTCTCTGCCACGTGATGTCCCTTCTTCTTGAACGCCGCGTGCAAAGAGAAAGAGGAAAGAAAAAAAAAAAGCTGCCGCGGAGTGTTTGAGCTAGGAGTGTTGGCACTCTCTCACGCGTCGGTGCCACGCTTTTCCTTTTCCCATCCCTGCCGCGTAGACCCTTCTCCTTTCAATGACGTGCGTGAAGAGAGGGAAAAAAAAGAAGCTGCCGTGGAGTCTTGGTTCTCTCTCAAATGCCGATCTGCTTCTCTCCGCATGGACATGCTCCTCCTTTCTCGTCACGTGCTGGCCAGAGGGTAGTAGTGGAGACGCAGTCGTTGTCGTCGTCTTTAGAAAGTGTCGGTGCAGGACATCGCCGTGCGCAACTTCTCTTGCCAGGAGAATGTTGAAGTCGAAGTAGAAATGCTTTGCAAGCTGTGTACAAAACTGATTGACTCGCTGCAAGTCAAACGTGTGCAGACGCGCATCATCGATTACTTCAATTAATGACGGATGTCCTGTGATTTGTGAATAAAGGTAAGTCTTCTGAAACTTCCCCCTGGTGTGTTAGCTCAATGCACATGCGCCACTGCATGGTGAGCCCTCCGTTCATTTAGCTTTCATTAATTTGAACTTCTTTTAATGTGAACAAATTTTCAGGCCCTTTCGAGTTCGAATTATCGAGATTCGACTGTACAACTGAAGGTGGTTCTGGTTGGCGGAATGGAGAGTTTGCACAGGCGACAATTTTTGAGGGGCCATAAAGACTACAATCACATTGATTCGCTGTTTGACCTCTTGAATTTCAAAACTTCATAAATTGTTACCTCATCAATGGAAAGAAAAGATGAGCAATCGCTATTGCTGTAAAAAATTTTTTTTGAAGCACAGTAAATCCATAATTACGAAGAGGTGGAGGGCCACGCCTACTTGCTCTGGTGTTTTTCTTTTTTTGAACTTAAGAATGAATTTCACAAAATACATTAAAGCAACGTACCCTGAATTTCTTTAGCTGAATACAGATGTACTAGCGCTTACCTTCAATTATATTTCGAATCTCTGGGTAGTCTAGATTTTTCAACAATTTATTCTGAAAATCGCCTAAAAAACGTTTTGTTGTTAGTTTGCAGGCCTTTATTCCAAAAAGCGCCTATGAGAGAGCAGTAAACATTCCGCATTAATTTCTCGGCATGCTTATTTATAAAAGAGACTGCCGAAACTTATGTTAATAATACTTTTAAATCATAATATATATCATATTTACTCGCGTTAAACGCTTACCTTCTTTTTTTTTTTTTTTCTGAAAAGTTTATGCCAGTTTGGGAGGAGGGTTCATTACATGGGAAAGAAAAGTCACTGGAGTTACAGCAGCGAAAATTTTGCGTGGCCGCATTGCTTGTTTGGGCTGTGAAATGTGCTACAAATATTTTCTGTAGCCCAAAGTTCTTTTTTGTTTTCTCCCTCAAGGAAATCGCCAACATAAACGCCAAAGTTACGTCCAGCAACTCGGTTGTCATTCAGCCGCACTAGCTACACCACCAGCCTTGTAGCTAGTTAATGTTTCGTTTATTAAATAGAAATGAATGAAACCAGTATACAAAGTTAAATGCATGCAGGCAACTAGAAATCTGCAACGCAACGTATCCAGTTCCATACTTTGGGCACTTTTTTTCGCAATTCTGGGGCTCCGGGAAGGGGGTGCGCAAATACGTGGGGACTTCGCAAATGCATAGAACATAATGTGCAGTAGTCCTAATGCTCAAAATATATTCATTAAAGTGAATAAAATAAATTGGAGCACGAACAAAATGTACTTGTTTATCGTCACGTACTTTAACCATTCAGGCCCGATCACACACGGTCTAATTGGAATCGCTGACCCTGAGGTCAGATTGAGAATCATCGTCCCGGCCGCTGCCACTGCCCTCCCAAAGGGCATCGCCATCGTTTCTGTCCAGCGGGTTAGAATGTCCCATTTTTTTAAACTCTTCTCGACTATGCTGGGAGAAACGAGGTCCCAGGACACGACGATACAGAAGGACCTAGCGTTCGCATATGATGGAAAAGTCATTTTTTAACAGCAGAAACCTTTTTTCAGCAAGCGCGCACTCTCTTTCTTTAAAACCGATCGCGCCGATTGTCACATGTGCAACAACTTCACGCTGAAGTGGTTGGCGGTGGAACGATTCCCATTTACTTTGGCAAACTTCACAACAGCGAGCTTGAATTTTGCCCTGAAGTAGCCGTCGCCAATCGCAAGAGAACAGTAAAAAACTATGGATCATCTCCCCTAAGGGAACCCTGATGGGATGCTAAGCAGCGGCGGTGCACACGGCATTGACTTGGTTGGTTGAAACGGGCATCGACACGGGTGCTGGAAGAACCGATTGAAGTGAAACTCGGTGTAGTGTTTACTGGAGTAAACGTTTGTTTGAAATGCAAGGACATGGGAGGAAGGATGCGTTGAAGACGTTTCCGCTTGGCTTCCTCAACTCTCGTCTCGTCAGTTTTACCCGCGCACCGTCTCTATTCTCGAATGCGATCGGCGTTCTTGACTCTCACCTCGTTGGTGTCGTTGGTCTTCTACTGCAGAAGCTTGCGTTCGGCTTTCCTAGCTAGCGCGTTCTCAGTGTTCCAGGCGCGACATTGCCACTTGGTAAGGCGACCGGCTTTGCTAACCCGCAACGCCGGCGACGGCCGGGAAAGGTATGCACACACTAGCTGGAAGCATGCCCCGGCAGCGTCCCTCCCACCGGCGTGGTCGTGTGGCAAGCAGCAATGCGCTGTCCACATTGCCGGCGCTGTGGGACCACAACTGGGCTAGACGACAGCGCGCGAGTGGTTTCTTGTCGCCGACAGATAGAGAGAGGTGGCGCGGGTGAGGAGATGACGCCGACGTGTCGAGTGGGCTCGAGCTATGCAAGCTTGGAGAGGGTGAAACAAGAAAGATGACACGCGGGGAGCGTCGACAAACTAGGGAAAAGATGGCGTCATGGGTGTGCACTGCGAGGGAAGGCGTGGCCTACTTGGCACCGTCTCAGTGCGGAGGGACAGCATTACACAGGCTTGTCAAAGAGCTGCTTCCCATCTAAAATGTGAAAAGGACGGATGGCGAAACCTAAACTTCCGAACCAAGCGTGCGTTGCAACGCACACGCAGGTAACGAGGGGACCAGTTAGCACGACCGGTCTAACGGGCCCTCTCATTCCTTCGGTGCCAAAAGTAATCCGTGCCGAGACGTGAGCGTGCATTCACATAGTGGTAGAGATGAAGAGAGATGGGGGGGACGAACGCTCGTGCAGTTCCGGTGACCGTGCAACAGGTTTGAATGTTCGTGCACGGTATTCTAGGGACCCTAACTGGGGGAAGTCTTCGGAAGAAGTAACTTCGCACTCGCAGCCTGTTTGTCTGCGCTCGCCTGATCAGCTGAGTGCACCCATCCAAAAAATCTAAAGGTCCACAGTGTCTTCGTGTGCGCACCGGGGAGCTGGCTCGGCGGGGTCGG